AATAACTGTCTCCTGAGAGGCTTCAGCCAGCAATGGATGGAGGCAGATACAGAGACCCACAGCCAAACTTCAGGCAGAGTCCAGGGAGTCTTGTCGAAGAGTAGGGGATAGAATTGAGCAAGACAGTGGGGTCAAGGAGACCACAAGAAGATCCACAAATCTAACCTGGGACTATGGGGCTCACAGCGCCTGGGTCAGCAACCAGAGAGCATGCAGGAGGTGGACCTAGACCCCCTACACATTTGTAGCAGATGTGCAGCTTAGTCTTCATGTGGTTCCCCTAAAAAGTAGATGAGGGCTGTTTCAGTCTCTGTCCCCTGCCATTGGATCCCATTCCCCAGTATTTGGATTGCCTGGCTGGGTCTCAGTTGTAGAGAATGTGCCTAGGCATGTGGGGACTAGATATCCCAGGGTGGGGTGGTATCCAAGGGGGCTTCTCCTTCTCTTAAGAGAAGGTGTGGGAGTGATGGGGGAAGATTTGTAAGAGTGGGACTGGGAAGAAAGGAGGGAGGGGTTTGTGATCGGGATGTAAAGTGAACAGAATAAAATAAAAGAATTTGCAGCTGGAGAGTTGGCTTAATTTGTAGGTGCAGGAGAACTTCATTTTCAAACATGAGATCTGACTTTAGATCCCAGAATCCACATAAAATAAAAGGCTTGTCATAGTACTATAGTGGTAGAGACAGGCATGAGAGACCCAATCTAAAAGGAATGTCAGAGTGCTAGAACCAGACCCCCCAATGTATTCCTCTAATAATGTACTCTACTTCCTCTAATGAACATATGTTCATACAGTTAATTTCATAACTGATTAATACCTTCTTGGTGAAAGTTACCCTACTATGGTTCAATAATTTTCCTCTATATTTCTTTTTGCCTCATTCTCTTCTTTATGATAATGATATTATCATCTTGGTGGCATTTAGGTTAGCACTGATAAATGTGAGTGGTCTAATCAGACCTCAAAGGTGCTTTCTGTGATGTGTGTACACATGTGTTTATGTGTGTTGATGCAATCGCAAATGTGCACATGTGTGTGTTTGGAGGCCAGAGGACAACCTGGAATTTCATTCTTTAAGTAACATCCACCATTTTAGTTTTGAGATGGCACCCCTCACTGGCTTTTAACTTGTGACAGTTATACAGTAGGCTAACTGTCTAGCAAGACTGAGGGATTTCTCTGCTTCTATCTCTACCACGCTGAGAATACAAGACTGTACTGCCATGCCCAGCTTCTTTTTTTATGGGGGTGGTTCTGGGAGTTATGTTTGTAAGACAAGCAATTTCCTGCGTGAGCTCTTTCCAGTCTCTCAGTTGTGTTTTAAAATTCAAGTTTCTGAGTCACACAATAAGTGTCAGATTTATTAGGGTTGAGGTAGATCGAGTTCCCTGGGGGTGACACAGATTCAACAGAAACGACACTTTTAGTATCACTGGACCAATGTAACCTTTTTCCAGTCTTTAATTTCATTTTTGTTTTATACTTGCCTTTTCTAAGAAGGATACTATTAAGATTCATGTATGTCTCTGGTTGGGCTGCATATGGGATGGATCCCCAGAAAGGCCATTAGAGACTACCCCACCTGGAGAATCCATCCCATCTGCAGACACCAAACCCAGACACTATTGCTGATATCAAGAAGTGCTTGCTGACAGAAGCCTGATATAGTTGTCTCCTCAGAGGCTCTGACAGAGCCTGACAAATACAGATGTGGAATCTTGCAGCCAGCCATCGGACTGAGCACAGGGACCCCAATGGAAGAGTTAGAGGAAGGACTGAAGGAGCTGAAGGGATTTGCTACACCATAGTAAGAACAACAGTATCAATCAACCAGACTCCCCAGAGCTCCCAGGTACTAAACCACCAACCAAAGAGTACACATGGAGGGAACCATGGCTCCAGCTGCATATGTAGCAGAGGATGGCCTTGTCAGGCATCAATGGGAGTAGAGGCCCTTAGTCCTATGAAAGCAGGATAAGGGAATGAGTGGGTGGGTGGGTGTTGGAGTACCTTCATAGAAGCATGGGGGAGGGGAATGGGATGGGGGTTTACAGAAGGGAAACTGGGAAGGAGGATAACATTTGAAATGTAAATAAATAAAATAACCAATACAAATTTAAAAGTAAAATTTAAAAAAATTCATGTGTGTGAGGGTACACAATGGGGGATGGGCTGCACATGTGTGTGTCTGAGTGTGGAATCCAGAGGTCAAGGTCAGATATTATTACACAGAAATATGAGTATGGGTGTTTTGATTACATATCTATCTGTGTAACACATGATTGTCTGGTGCCCAATACTGCCAGAAGAAGGTGATGGGTCCTCTGGAATTGAAGTTACAAACGGTTGTGAGCTGCCTGCTGGTACTAGGAATCAAGCCTGGAGTCTCGGGAAAAGCAACCAGTGTTCTTAACTGCTGAGTCATCTTGCCAACACCAAGATGCTATTTTTTATATAAAATAGTCTCACTGCATTTCTCACTACGTTCGTTTTTTTTTTTTCATGTGTTTGGAGTGGAATCTAGGGCCTTATGCATCCTGAATGGGTACTGTACCTCTGAGCTAAATTCCTAGCCTTTCCAAATGTTGATTATTTTGTCAGTACTGAAAATTGAATCCATAGCTTTGTGAATATGAAGTCAGTGCTCTGCAAACTGAGCTATATTCCTCCTCCTGATTTTATTTGGTAAAAGTATTCATTTTTCAAAACAAATGTTTATATATTTAGGTAATTGATGGTTTCTTCATTTCTAAGTATATAATGTACATATCAACCAATGAGTATAAACCACATAAACAAAAGCTCTTCAAGATATTTAATATCTTTGGCAGGCATGATGGTGCATGCCTTTAATCTGAGCCTTTTGAAGACAGAGGCAGATGGATCTCAGAATTCGAGGGTAGCCTGATCTATATTACTAGTTCCAGGCCAGTCAAGGCTACACAGAGAGACCCTGTCTCAAATACCCACCCCACCAAATTTTATTAATTCTTAATAATGGTAACAGGTCTTGAGACTTAGAGAGTAACTATTCTACTGTTTATTGTCTAAATGTTGCATTGAATATCTGGTTTTTTTTCTTTTTTTGGTAATGAAGCATATTTAGTACCATAGAGATACACAGATAATTCATTATCTATTATTGGCCTGTAACTATATTTTAGGTTTGAGATTTATCTATATTCTACAAAAAAGTTTATGTCAATTAAGAAGAAAAACTTGGAAAGCTTTAAAGTGGCCAGGTGATGTCTTTTAAATTTATTTCAGCTTATAAATAAAGGAGATAATATCTGTCTCACTCAAGATTGTTCCATGTACATTGTAGATAATTAAAACCTGATCTTTGATTTGACTATATTGAAAAGAAAATTGCTTAATTATATTATATCAACTATTAGGACTTCTGAGACTGCTAGTAATATACTTTGAGAATATGGAAGTAAAACTATCCATAATGTCTTAATACATTATAAGTTTAATGAATGGTATGAATAATTAAAACAGAATTTAAACTAATTAAAAATAGATTAAAAGTGTGACTTTCTTGCTAAAATAATGACATACAATACATAAATATCAATGGAAATGCTACAACAAATATATATTATACATATACATGTATGTATAATACATAAAGTATGTAGTGCATATTTTGGTTTTAAAATTGATATTGTGGAGTATGAAAGCAAAATGTAGAGAGAATTGAAAGTGGAACCCCTTTTAATGATAGAAAATTAATGGGATTTGAAATTTAAATCTTAAATATGGTGAACATCCTTTATACTGTTTTTGTTCTCACACCTGGAGATTAAAATATTTCAAAATAAATTGTATGGTATATGTGAAAATAATAAGTGCTATATGGGAAAACAAGTGTGGACAAGGAATAAGTAAGGGGTTGGTTGCAGTAGAGTAGTTAGAGATATCATTGAGAAAGTGCCCTTTGAGCAAATTGGGAGAGGGGAGAAAGAAAGTCACTTACATATCTAAGAGGAAGATGTTCCAGAATCAGAGTAGCAAGTGAGAATCTAGATCCATATACAGTATGTTTGGAGAAGGTGGAGAAGGTGGAGCCTATCTAGACAAAAGGGACGTGAGGACAATACATAAAAATGTATCAGAAACAATTCTCTATTCTGCTGTGAGTGGTGATAGTTGTGCATGCCTGGAATTTCATTGCATGTTTTGATGAGGGATTAGTATCATGAGTATCAATTCAACCCAGACTGAGTGACTAAATACTTGTGCATGCATGCGTGTGTGTGTGTGTGCGTGCGTGTGTGCCTGTGTGTCCATGCATGCAGTTACTTTTTATGTAAATGTAGGCTTGTCAGTGTACATGTGTCGGCTTACACTTGTGGAGTCTATACGTTCTGCATTGTTATCCACCGGAAGACTACCTCTTTTGAGACAGTGCCTCTTGGTGGCCTTCAGCTCACTAGTTTGGCTGGCCAATGGACCTCAGGAAGCTTCTTGCCTTTGCTGTTCCTGTGCTGGCATTACAAATGTATGCCTGGCATTTTTACATTGGTTTTAGTGACTGAACTCACTTCCTGGAGCTTGCAAGGCAAGCATTTTACCAATGGGATCATGACATTCTCAGAGTCCAACTTTTAATTTTTCTAAGTTAAATAAATGGCTGTTTTTTATTAAAGGAAACATAGATTGGAGGAAAATATTGAGAGATGGATTTAGATCTAAGATTTTCATAATTTAATGAAATGACTTGGTGTGGAAAAAGGAAATTTAGAGGAAACAATATTTTACTTTATGTAAGTGTTTCTCTAATTCTGCATGGTAAGTGCTATGAATATTTCAGTTGTTGTTAGTATATAATATATGTATATACAGAGAACTATAAAGAACTATATAGACAGGTTTTAATTTATAAAGCCTAGCTGGCAAGAATGAGTTGCACTAGATATGGTCTAACATTAGAATAGATCTTTGAAACTATGATGGCATAACAAATATAATTTTTTATTCTTTTATATTTTAGACACCAAAATAATCTCTCTGTCTCATCTTGAGATGACCTGGAATAGCAGAAAGAATTTTCCTGCCTTGCTTGTAAGGATCCTGCATAAGTCAAAACTATGATATTATGGGAAGCCTAATAAAAAGATGATTGAGCCATATCAGGTACAAGTAATGCAAAATAATATATGTTCATCTAAGTGTATAGATTATAACATGCACATGTAAGTCTCTATTGGCAAAAATTACTGATTTAAATAATATTCCACAGGCACACTTAAATAATTTTTGAATGCATACAGAGTCATTTTTACTTCAAAGTAATTTTCTTTTTTTCTTTTCTTTTATATTTTTACCCATCCACAAGACCCCTATCCCACAACCTCTCACTCCTCCCTCCCTTCAAAGTAATTTTCAATGTGATTTTTCTCTTAAAAATTCTTTGGAATTTAGCGTATAGCTCAGTGTTAGAAAACTGGCCTAGCATGTACAAGGCCATTGGTTCATTTCAGTTCCCAGCACCACAAAATACATTTCAAAGGAAAAAAAACTATATCTGTATATAAGACAAAGGTAACCATGCTTTTTTTGATCCTGATCTAGCTGGTCTCTTTCACACTTCTTTTCTTTGTCTTTAATCTTTTCTTCTCTGTGCTTTTTTTTTTTTACCAGCATGTAAGCAGGCTCTAGTCTCCAGTTGAACTTTATAAAAAGAAAATACATCCTTGGACCATATTTTGCCTCTCCTCTTTCTTGCCTTTCATTTACTTCTCAATACAATTAGTTGGCCTTTTCTTCAGCTTATAATTCACTAGTAACTTTCTATTTGTCACTCCACTCCCACACTTTTCTGTTAACTTGGCTCTGTGCTATATAGCGCTATGAGATCTGATGTGTGTGTGTGTGTGTGTGTGTATGTGTATAATATATGTATAATATGTATATATATATTCATGCTCTGCTTTTTTTACTTAATATTACAGCATAATTTTCCATGTATCAAGAGTTAGCTTAGGCCGGGCGGTGGTAGTGCACGCCTTTCATCCCAGCACTTGGGAGGCAGAGACAGGCAGATTTCTGAGTTTGAGTCCAGCCTGGTCTACAGAGTGAGTTCCAGGACAACCAGGACTACACAGAGAAACCCTGTCTCGAAAAACAAAACAAAAACAAAAACAAAAACAAAAAAAGAGTTAGCTTAGGTGTTTTATTAAGTTCAGATTGTGAAAGTTGTGTATGCTTATGGAAGCAAATTAAGAAAAAATGTAGGGCATATTAAGAGAATAATATTATCCAAGATTTTAGCACTCAGATTATCTACTGTTAATATGGAAATATTATCCCCTCTCTGGTTACTGTGTAAGTCATACGTAAAATTTTATATTTAAATCCCATATATGCATATGTATCATTATTACACAAATATGAGTGTGTGTGTGTGTGTGTGTGTGTGTCTGTGTCTGTGTTATGTTGGATGCCATTAAGTATGTCATATAGCTTCTTATTCATATAAACCGGTTTCAAATATCAGCTGTATCATGTCTTTATGACATTACCTATTTGTTTTCTTAAAGCCTCAATTTTCTTCTTTTCTTTTTCTTTTCTTTTTTTTTTTTTTTTTTTTTGGTTTTTCGAGACAGGGTTTGTCTGTGTAGCTCTGGCTGTCCTGGAACTCACTCTGTAGACCAGGCTGGCCTCGAACTCAGAAATCCACCTGCCTCTGCCTCCCAAGTGCTGGGTTTAAAGGCATGCGCCGCCACTGCCCAGCCAAGTCTTAATTTTCTAATCAGCAAAATGAAAGTGCTGATTATAAATATGTTACAGAGCTGACATGAGGGTACAGTTTCTTAATATGGATAGTTTAACTGTGTTTCAGGTACATACCAAATCCTCCATTTTAGCTATTGTTAGGAATAGTGTCTGATTCAGCTATTCACCATACTCAGTGCCTAACATAGCATCTGGAGGGTAATATGGATTTGATATATGTTTGATGATTGAAGGAATGAATTAACAAAATCTATTGTCATTGATAAGAAAGAGGATCTTAGACTATAACATCATTTAAAAAGAAGTTAGAAGAGCTAGAGAAAACTTGGGATACTGTTCTTTAGATATAACCAGTGTTGTTAATTTTTATATTTTAAAACAGAGAACATACTTTTTGTTTCAAAATACTTATTTAATTATCCTCATAATAACATTGACATTAGTATTTCTTTCTGCCAAATAGTATAACAGAAATAATTCCTACACCATGTATAACAAATTCTGAGAGGCCAGTATAAGTAAAGTTAATGTTATCAGAGCATTGATGGGATTATGTTCAATCAATGTCTATCTAAAATGCTCTAGGATCAGTGAATAATACCAAGGTCCTTCAACCTTGCAAATGATGAAGAATGCTATGAAGACCTTCAAACTATGATGCTTACCTAATTTTTCTGATGACTGCATTGTGTGGTTGCTCTGTATGGTATTGAGTTAAGCATTATGGGAAAAGTAAACATAGCTAAGATTTTCTCTGTGCCTTTGAAGAATCACACAGTAAGTTAGTTCTATCTCTCCGACTTCCAGTATCTTATAGCAGTCTCTCTTTTAGTTTAGCAATCTTAACAGAGTTAACAACCGAGTCATTACTAATAAAAATAAAATTTAAGTGTCATTTTTCTGTCACTATGAAATTTCACAGATAATACCATATAGATAAAAATAGCAAATATGTATATGCTTTTACTCTCTTTCTCTAGACCTATTTGGAGGTTGCTGACAATTCAGGCATGGTGTCAGTTATTATGTGGAATGCTTTGTGTCCAGAGTGGTATAAAAGTTTGAGAGTGGGCTTGATTCTTCTGCTTCAAGATTATTCTGTGAAGAAGAGCTATCCATTAAGAATCCAGCCTGACCCTGTGGATCCACAGATGAAACTAATTTCTACAATGGGTTAAGTATCTAGTTAATTGTTCTCTCATTGCTGTCTTGCTTTGTAAACTGTCATATCAGGCAAAAGTCTGGAAAAGTTACTGAAGCTGTTAGAAACTGGAAAACCTAAATTCATTTAGAAAAATTTTAAGCAGTTAGTTACTAAATTAATAAGCAGGTTAACTTATTAGTGCATTCATTAAGAATGATTATCTGAGACATTTATTGTTGTCCAAAGAATGAGCTCTGTTTGGGATATACTTAGATTTGTTTTTGTTCAGATTTGGTGTGTAATATTAAGTTAATCACTTGAGTATACTTTATAGTTACTATTAAGTACTATACCAAAATGATTTTTATTAAATTAAAAATATTTTATTGTGTATGTGTGTATGATGTGTATTGTGAGCCTGTGTCCTCTTCCCCCACCTCCTTTTCCCTGTCTCGTTCCTTCTCCCCTACCCATCTCTCTCTCTGCCTCTCTCTGTCTCTCTGTCTCTCTCTGTCTCTCTGTCTCTGTCTCTCTCTCTCTGTGTGTGTGTGTGTGTGTGTGTGTGTGTGTGTGTGTGTGTGTGTGTGTGCATGCTTGTAGAGTTCAGAGGACAACTTTGGGAGTCTGTTCTTTCAATCCACCTTGTGATCTGAGGATCAAACTCAAATGATCAGGTTTATATGTCAAATGCTTTTAATCTATTGAACCACCTTGCTGGTCCTTGTTAACTTTATCATTTTATACATTCAGCTTTTTACATAATTGACAATATTATAAGTCAGGACAGTATGAATGATATTATGGAACAATAATATAAAGTAGAAGATGTTATAAAATATTACACAATGTACCAATCTATAAACATAACCACACAGTCTTCATCTTTATAGCTACAGATGAGTATGTAAGAAGAATAAGCTTTTCAAGTGAATGATAAACATTGAGGCAGTATTTAACCTGGGGAGGCATGGAAAAGACAAATAGATTAGGATAAAGTTTATAATCCTTAAAGTATATTTTTATAACTCTACTACTTGAAGCAAAACTGAAGGAAGGAGAAAAGAGCATGTATTATTTCCACATATGAGGTTAAGTTGCATTTTGAAATAATTTTAAAACTCATAGTTGAATGAATGTTATAAAGAACTCCCATATTACTTTATCTCACTAGTTATTAGTTTTTATTTTTGCTATTTAACTCTTTCTCAAGTGCACGTGCACAGTCATCATACATCACTGCATAGTTTTGTATCCTTAACCTTTCAGTAATAATATGTATTTCTAAAGATCAAGCATATTCTAGCCATCTGTGCTAGTGTACCCTTGTAATTCTGTCTCTTGGCAGGGTAAGGCAGGAAAACAAATCAAAGGCCAGCCTTGATCTGTCATAAGACTTTGTTGAAAGAAAAAGAAAGAAAGAAAGAAAGAAAGAAAGGAAGGAAGGAAGGAAGGAAGGAAGGAAGGAAGGAAGAGAGGAAGGAAGGAAGGATGGAAGGAAAGAAGGAAGGAAGGAAAGAAGGAAGGAGAAGGGAAGGGAAAAGAAAAGAAAAAAGTCCCATTTCACAATCACAGTTCAATTATAAAAATCAGGAAACTTAAATTCAACACCTTATTATTAAGAAACCTTTTGTTAATATTCAAATGTTGCCCATTGATGTAATCTTGAACTTTTGTTATTGTTTAAGCTAGTTCTAAAACCCAAGCACTCATGGAAATTACTGTGTAGGGTGTCATGGCATGAAATTTACTGCAATTCTCCTGCCTCGCTTTCCAAAATTGCTGGGATTACATGTGTGTGCCACCATTCTCAGCACAGATTTTTTTCTAATTATTATTATAATCAAAGTTTTGATAACCAATATCTTCAGATGTTTAAGAGATTGTCAGTAAACTTTAACAGTTGTTAGATATGCATGTATTTTTTAGATTTAATTTTTTTCAGAATTTTGTACAAACTTAAGCAAGATTTTAAGTTTTATCATTGACTCATAATAATGTTTTCTGACTTGTATTTCTTGTGTATTAATTCTTAATTCTTCAACTAATTTGTTAAGTTTATTCGCATAAAGATGGTAATTGCTTTTTTAAATATGAGTCTATTGGGGAAGCCCTATGATTTCCTTATTAAATTCTTAACTATTTTGCTGAGATTGTTTAACTCTTGCTAGGAAGAAATTATTACCTCAATAGTTTGCACATTTAGTTCTTTATCTCATTAAATATTCATCATGGAACAGATGAAAAATAAGTCAGTAGATACTTTGAGGATTACTTGTAGAAATAAAAAAAAAGTTTGCCAGAAGAAGCTGATATTAATTGACAACATACACTATCACCCATAGGAAGTTATAAATTATTTTCCATAAGCTAACATATCCAAGGGACAAAATTACTTTAGTGGGGTTAGGGAACTTCCTAGTCATAGAAGATATGGTAAAAAAAAATCACTTTATATATGACAACAGTAAATTACCAAATTCTCTTGATACCTGGTCCAGTATTCCTTGAACTAAATTGCAATTTTTATGGATGAGTTAATTTAATATTTAATTTATTTTTGAGAATTTCACACTTGATTTATCTCACTCCCTCTCTTTCCTCCAATTCCTCCTGTATCCTCCGCTCAAATTCATGACCCTTATTCAGTTATTATTGTTACATACATGTATAGATACATATATGTAATAATAGGTACATATATGTATATATATTTAGCAATTATAGAATTTTGTTTCGTGCTTCCTTATGGATATGTGTTTAGTTCTAACTAGTTGGGATGGGATAATCTATCAGAGAACTCTCCCTTGGAGAGAACTTATTCTCCCAGACTCTGCACTCATTTATTGACTTTAACTAATTAGGGTGGGGTTTTATGAAATTCACCCCATCTATGTTGGCATGCCAACTAGTACTGTCAAGCAGGTCTTGTTTAGGCAACCGTATTGTTGAGATCTCACATCTGCAGTGTCTCTGTCATTTCTAGAGCATATTATTGAGCAGCAGGCTTTCTGGTTCTCTTGTTCCTATGTCTGTCCCCTCTTCCTTAACAGTCCCTGAGCCTTAGCTTCATGAGTTGTGTTGTGGATATGATCTACTGGAGCTGAGCACCCATGTTACTTATTATTTTGAACAGTTGTGGATATCTGTAATAGTCTATCTGCTCCTAAAAGAAGGGTAAATGCTACGAGCATCTTTAAGTATGAGGATAAGTTTTTAGAATGCAGTTAGAAATTATACTGGATGTTCCAGGCCAAAAATTCAAATGGAAGCTTTCTGTGTCTGGCACTATTCTGATTTTGTTTATTCTTTTAGTATGGTGGTGGTGGTGGTGGTGTGTGTGTGTGTGTGTGTGTGCGTGCACACACACACATCTGTATATCTGTCTATGCGTCTGTGTGTTGATAGCTATTGAGGAAAGCATTATCACCCCAGGTGGCTCCTGTGTTTTGTGTGTGTGTGTGTGTGTGTGTGTGTGCGCGCGCGCGCATGTGTGTGTGTACATTACTATAGTATGCATCTTTTAAGTAAGCTTGTTAAATTGTATAACCTATGAATTTTTTCAGCATCTTTAGTGTTGTTCTCGCCTTCCTCCCTCACCCTTAGTATTACCCTCCCTCTCTCCTCTAGATTAGCAGTTTAAGTCCCTTCCCTCTTTTCCCATTTCTCCTTCTTCACAGTACCCTATCTCTAGAGCTTTTTTTCATCCATGCCCCGACCACATTCCAGTCTTACCTTTCTGACTTCTCTGTTAACTTCTGTTTACACACTCAAATCTAAAGACTCAGAGCTATGATCCACAAATAAGAGATCATGAGCAGTTGAAAATATACTGAACATGTCCTACAGTATCAAGCAGGGCTCATAAAGGCTCACAGAGACTGAAGCTGCAGCCAGGGAGCCTGAATGAGTTGGCACCAGGTCCACTGCACATATATTATGGTTGTTACCTTGCTGTTTTTGTGGTGCTCCTAACACTTGGTGAATGTGGGGGTGTCTCTCTTTTGGCCTACTCTTGGGACCCTTTTCCTCCTACTGGGCTGCTTCATCTAGCGTTGATATGAGGATGTGTGCCTAGTCTTATTGTAACTTGCTATACTGTGTTCAGTTAATATCCCTGGGAGGCCTGCTCTTTTCTGAAGGAAAATGGAGGAAGAAGAGGAGTGGATCTTGGCGAGGTGGGGGTGAACAAGGAGGAATAGAGGAAGGGGAAACTGTGGTTGGGATGTATTAAGTGAAAGAAGAATAAATAAAATAAATAAAAATTTAAAAATTAATTATGAATTAAAAATATACTGAGTAAACTAGACCTAAGTCTTAATTTAGATTATACTTCTTACATGTTTGTGGATACCTCTGTATGTCTGTCTGATTCTAGTAGTTGCTTCTGAGCCTTAAAATCACATGAAGACTAGGACAGTATACAGCCTATAGTCAAATAATCAGCCACTATAAAATTAGAATACAACTATAAGCCCATATTTTATGATGGAAAACTGTTTTTGAAAATGTAAAGGTATTTGTGTCTTCAAATATGTAAATGCAAATACATAATTATTTTAAAGTGACAGTGAACCTGGGTGACAATGTATTTAAAATATTCTCTTTAGTCTTTAAAAAGAGCTTTCCTTCTTATTAATGTAGTCGATGTCTCTATTTCCCATATAATTTTGATTACTAGTAGACTTTTTATTTTTCTTTTTTCCTTTTTTTAATTTTATTTTTATTAGTAACTTTTTAAAAAAGTGTTAATCAAAGGCTTTATAAGTTTGGTAATGCTCAATAACAAGATGCCCATACAATCAGAAGTGTAACCCAATACCCAACCTAGCTATACCAACTATCTTTGACTGGTGGAGACATGCAAACATCTGCCTCCATGTTCCTCTCCCCCTTCTCTCTCATCTCCTAGCTCCTCCTCTCCTAGCTCCTCCTCCTCTCCTTACTCCTCTTCTTCCTCTCCTTACTCCTCCCACCATAGCACCTCCTACATATCATCCTTCCTGTTAAGATAAAACTTTTCTCTCAAAATACAATTAGAACAAAACTATACCAATTAATATCAGTAAGGTACAAGATAGACATAATACCCAGTCCATTATTTTGTTGACTAACCAGAACCTCTGTCATCTCTCCTAACTAAAAGAGTTAGATCTGAACCTGGCTTTTTCTTGGTTTAGAATGAATGTCAGCTGAAACTCATCCTCTCAAATCTTTTCTCTCAAAGTGAATAGCTGGGATTGGCTATGAGACTATAAGTCTTCAATCCCATCAGAAATCCAGAATGACTGAATTAACTGAAATTATGGGAAGCACAAAGCATAGCTTCTAAAACTTAGCCAATTTATAGAGACCACTGAACACCTGGACAGTCCCTATATACTACAAAATGTTGGAGCATCCGATCTTCAGCCTTCTGGCCCAGCATCATCTGACAGACCTAGTGATTAAGGGCTGATTACTCTGTCTTGGCAGATATAATCAGTTGACTATTCTGCAAGCGTGTCCTCTTCAGGACAGTAATTTGTCTGTAGAAGAAAAGAGGCAATTCTTGCCTAGTGGCTGTCTCACCACAACTGGAGTAACTCCAAAGATGCTCAATTTCTTCTTAGAATCCACCTCAGGAAGCTGTCAGGAGCAGACAGGTCTCTAATCAAAATGAACCTTAATAAAGAAATGTTTTTAATGTCAATTCTGTGGACTTCTGATGTTTTGAAAACCAGCTATCTATGTAAGGCAATCTGGACTGTTGTCTGTTAACTCCTCTCAGCTATTTCTAATTAAAATATAGAAAACACCCTAACAATAAACTCAGAGCCATGAATTTGCTATAGGCCCTTAACTCACAGGCTAACCGTCTCTAATAAGTTAAAAAAGTTAAAGAAGGACTGGGTCTAAGCCCTGTATTCCTAAATGTGTTATATAGGCACAATGCCTATGAGAGTAACAATATTAATCTCACTTTTATATTAATAAGAAACTCGTACCAATGAAAACCTTAAATTTGAAATCAAAGTAAATTTTGTACCATTTAAGAAACTATAACTTCAGCTTAATAACATACTCCATGCTCCATATTCCATATTCTATATCTATATTCTATATTCCATATTCCACATTCCATACTCCAGACTCCAGACTCTATATTCTACATTTTATATTCTATGTTCTATGTTCTATATTCCATATTCTATTCTATATTCTATATTCTATATTCCATATTCCATATTCCATACTCCATACTCCATACTCCATATTCCATATTCCATATTCTAAATTCCATACTCCATACTCTATATTTTATATTGTATATTCCATACTCCATACTCCATATTCTATATTCTAATTTTTAATTCTATCCTATATTCTATATTCTACATTCTACATTCTATGTTCTATGTTCTATATTCCATATTCTTTATTCCATATTCCATATTTCATACTCCATACTCCATATTCTATATTCTAATTTTTAATTCTATCCTATATTCTATGTTCTATGTTCTATGTTCCATGTTCCATGTTCCATGTTCCATATTCCATATCCCATATTCTATATTCCATATTCTACTCTCCATTCTTCATACTCCATACTCCATATTCCATATTATATATTCTATATGCTATATTTTATATGCTATATGCTACATGCTGTATTCTAATTCTACTGTATATTCTAATTCTATATTCTATTCTATATTCCATATTCCATATTCCATATTCCATATTCCATACTCCATACTAAGGCCATATTCCCTACTGATAATATATGGCTTTATATATGGCCATTCTCTTTTTTGCTAACTAATATTCATTACATAGCCAAATAATAAATTATTTTGAGTCTAAATTGGATTTGACGGCCCACATCTTTAATCCTAGCAGTTGGGAGGCAGAGACAAGAACATCTCTGTGAGTTTGAGGCCAGCCTGATGTACATAGTGAGTTTCAGAGCAGTCAGTAAGACACAGCTGAGATGCTGTCTCAAACAAAAATTAAGAAAAAAGAGTTCAGCTGATTGTATTGCTTTGTAATTTATGGGAAATAAATTATTAAAGTAATATACATTTTTTTTTTTTAGAAATCTGCCTGAATCTTCGAGATCCTCCAACTAACATAGTTATCATTCCAGAAAAGCAGTTGAAATCAGAATGGAAATTGCCAAAACTAATTAACCAATTTGTCACAAGGTAAAATAGTTCCTTCTAATATCTCTTAAGTAGTAATCTTTAAATGTTAGTAAACCAAAAAATAATGGATATAACTTATTCAAAATCTACCCCAGATTAAGCTGTATCAATTATTCAGACAGGTATTTTCATAGTTATTCCTGAAGAATGTCTTGTCACTGTTTAAAGATACAACATCTATTGAACATTTTTTTTCAGATCAGAACTAGACGATATGCCAGAAAATAGCATCTGTGATGTAATTGGTGTGTTATCCTTTGTGGGGAGGGTGCAACGGTCAAAAAAGAGAGGTAAGCTCTTAAATTTGAAAGTGTAGGGGAATGCCAGGGTGGGAAGGCAGGAGTGAGTGGGTAGGTGGGGGAACATCCTCATAGAGGCAGGAGGAGGGGGAAGGGGTGGGAGATTGCGGAAGGGGGACTGGGAAAGGGGATGACATTTGAAATGCAAATAAAGAAAATATCCAATAAAATCAAAAAAATCAAAAAAATAAAAAATAAAACCTAAACAAACGAAAGTGTGTTTAAATATGAGTAGCATTGTGTTCAATACTCATACAATGGCCTTCATGTATCTCCCTGCTCTATCCACATAGAGAATGGTGAAGACTTTTGGTCATACCGCTGGATTCACATCACTGACGGAACTTCAGAGCAACCATTCATAGTGCAGCTGTTTTCCACATCACAGCCAGAAGTCTTTGAAAATATTTACCCAAGTACTCCATACTTTGCTCTTTTTTATTTTTCGAAGCAGCATTGGGAACTTGAAGATAGTAAGATGGGGGGCTGGAGTGATAGCTCAGTGGTGGAGATCATTTGCTGCTCTTGTAGAGGACCCAGGTTTGGTCCTCAGCACCCCCATGGTGTCTCCCAATCATCTATAGCTTCAGTTCCAGGCTATTGGATGCTGTCTTCTGACTCCTGTGGGCATTAGGCATGCACATGGTACATTATAAATACATTCAGGCAAACACTCGTATACCTAAAAGAAAATATATGTGGGTTTTTAAAGGGAGAGTGATCTGACTTAAATAAGTGGCATGACAATGAGTTAGGAGCACAAATGATCTAAAAACATTTCAAACCCTTTCCATGTTGCTATATTTAAGTCTATGTTAATCACTTTCTTGTCTATTCAGGCATTATCTTAAGATTTAAGTCACAGAGCATTATTTCTGTAACACCTTCTACTGGTCCTCTTATGTTTCTCAAATAGTGTTCTTCCTACTTTCTTGTCTCTTTTAACATCTAGGTTCTATCAGTGACAGAAAAACCAATTAATGCCTTTCTGAGTCTGGTTTATTTCACGTAACATGGCAACCTCTAATTATATCTATCCATTTTCCTGAAAATAACATTATTTCATTCTTTATGACTGGTTAAATTATATGGACACACACATATTCTTCCATTTAACTCATTGGAGGTACCTAGGCTACTTTTATATACCTTGGCAATTCTGAGTGATGCTGCAGTAAGCATAAATATTCAAGCCTCAATCAAGCATCTCTTGTATGTTGCCTTTGATTCCTTCAGATAGAGACCCAGGAGTGGCATGGCTGAAACACAGGCAGCTCTGTTTTGGGAGTTTAAGGACCTTTATATTGATTTTTATAGTTTCTGGACTAATTACATTCTGACCAGCAGTGTTGACAGTTTGCGTTTGCTCCATACTCTTTCTAGAGTTTGATGTGTTTTGATTTCTTGATTGTGGCCACTCTGACTGGGCTGAGATGGACTGAATCTCAGTGTAGCTTTTAATGGTATTTTCCTGCTGGCTAAGAATGTTGAATACTCTGACTGGGCTGAGATGGAATCTCAATGTAGTTTTTTAATGGCGTTTTCCTGCTGGCTAAAAATGTTGAGTGCTTTCTTGTACATTTATAAACAGATTGTGTTTTTTTTTCTTTTAAAAAAGAGTCTTATATATTCCAGTTTATGTGGTTCAGCTCAAACCGAGGGCTTCCTGCATACATTGCATCCTGAGTCCCCAACTGTATGTTAAATTCATTTCTCCATTTATTGATCAGAAAACTTGGTCCTTTGACATGTAATTTTTTTTGGTTCTTCATATATTCTGGCTACTAATTCTGTTTCAGAAAAATAGCTGGCAACGATTTTCTTTGATTTTTAAACTGTCTTTTCATTCTGATGTTTTCTCAGCTGTGCAGACGCTTTTAAGTTGTATTCAATCCCCTTTGCCAATTCTGGCTATTATTTCTGAAGCTGTTGGATTCCCATTCAGAAAGTAATTGCATGTACCTACATCTTAAAAGTATTTTCCTTTAGTACTTTCTGAATTTCAGGACTTACACTGAGGGCTTTGATCCATTCTGAATTGATTTTTAAAGGGCGTTGAGTGATTCAGGCAGGCCCTATTGTCTGTTGTTTCTTTCCCTCATTCCATCTTGACTGCTGTCACATATTATAACCCCTGTTTGCATGGTGGTCTAAATCATTCAGATTCACCAGATCACCTCATACCATGGAGCTCAGTAAACCACTATAGCGTTTTGCTTTTTTAAGTTCCCTGACGGAGTAACTTTCTTCTTAACTCTGCTGTGAGCAGAGTCCTATCCAGCCTAGTAAAACACTGTCCCTCATATACCCAACTCTCTCCTATTTTATCTCTCTTGTGTGTCATACATATTCATAGGCACCTTAGCCAGTTATAACCATTCGTCCCTAATGACTCTTATAAACTGGTCCAGCAGGGAAGGATAATGATTTCTCTCATATTGTGAGGTCTTTGTCTTGAGGGAGGAGGAATGATGCTATTACTTGGTTTCTGGACTTTCACAGTAGTCTAGCTGATCCTACTTTTCTCTTGTCTTAAAGCTTCATAATCAAGCTTTAAAAAACTCCCATTTCTTGTATAAAAGTCTTTCCCATTCAAACAAAGGCAGACTAATTGTCATAGTTTTGGCTGTGTGTATGTCTGTGTGAAGATATTAGTTCTACTGATTTGTAAAAATGGAAGGGTTTTTTTTTTTAGTTTTTTAGAAGTATTTCTTCCTTCAGTGTTTAATAGTTTTCATTGTAAAAATCTTTCACCTCTTTAGCTGACTGTATTCCTAGGTAGTTTTGAGGTTATTGTGAATGAAATTGTTTTCTTGATGTAATTATTGCCATATACAAAAGAGATGATGTGTGAAAAGAGTGCCCAGAATATATTATATTCATGTATGAAACCAGCAAAGAATGAGCTTAATTAACTTTAGAAATGTAAAAAAGTTAAAACCATTCTTACAATTTGAATGGATTTTCTTTTATTTTCATTATTATAGAAAGCCAGTAATTGAATAGATAGAAAATGAATTTATAGTTATGCTGTGGAGAAATTTTTATTATTATATGTTATTTATTATTATTCAAAAACCTACTTTTGAATAATTGCCTGAATTTACACTTGTTTGTTTGTGCCCTAGTTTATGAAATTAAAATTATTTGAGCATAGAGTAAGATGAAGTACACATAAGATTTGGTTAATGGAATTTTATTTCCAGTTTTCCCTCCGTTTGGCTTTTCTTTATTGATTCCATTTCCACTCTAGTGTCTTAAACAGCTTTCTTTATTTTATTCCACTCTTTCTTTGTATTTCGTAGATTTCATTAATGGATTTATTCAGATCCTATTTAAGGTCCTTGAGCATATTCATAATAGCTATTTTGAAGTCTTGTGCTTCAGGTGTATTGCATCTCTCAGGGCCCTACTGTAGTAGGGTTGTTGAGTTCTAGTGGAAACATATTGTACTGGCTGTTATCGATTGTGTTTTTATGCTGGTGTCTAGGGATCTAGGTTTGGGATGATTGTCATTCTAGACGTTATTATCAGGTCTTGTATTTGCTAGGTAAATATTTTATTCCTTGGTTTCTCTTGCCCTCTCTAGTTCTTGGGAGACTGGGAGTGGCTGTGGGTTGCCAGATAGGGGATGTTTCTGAGATCCTGCCAGGTGTGCCCTCTATGGTTCCAGGTAGAATGTGTTTCTAGGTATTGAGAGCTGGCACTTAGAGATGGAAATGGGCTAGGTAGGGGCTGAAGTGGTCTACAGGATGGAGGAAAGATGGGTGTGCCACCAAAATCTGCTATAGACTTCTGGGAAGAGGAGCACAGTAGATGGTATGCTATAAAGCTGAGGGTAAGGCTGGGAGACTGGAATTGGAGGGAGGCAGGAGAAGGAAGATTACCTACACAATTTCTTGGCTAGTGTACCCTGCAGATTCCTAGGGACCGGTAAACATCATAGGTAGTTTTTTTTAAATGATAGGTTTTTAAAGTAGTTGAAGTCTGAAGACAGTATAATCTCATTATAGTCACATTTGTAACCTATCAAGTAGGTTAGCAAGATAAAAAAAATCAACTAAACAGGTCATATAAATCCTGTCATTGAGTTTTGACATTTAACTAAGGTAACTATTTGATATAAAAATCACCTGTATAAACAAATACAAATTAATACTCCATATCCCTCTCTGGTAGAATTCCAAGTAACCAGGATTCAGTGCTATATTGAGTAAGTCAATGGAACTATTATGAAAAATCATAAGGTTTTTTTTTCCAGTAGAAAATAACTATTCACACTCATGTACCCAACTGATCCAATGACTCTTATAGAATTAAACAACTTGCTTTACTTAAATGCAGCCCTTGTACTTTCCAAAGGAAAGACCTCTGGTTAAAGCGTGGAGACTGGGGAAGAAAAGGAACATACTAGGTAGTGTCAAATCACTCTCTTGTCAAAGGACAGGCTGCAAGAGAATCCCTGGTAACATGTTAGAAATGCAACATTTCAGGTGGACTCTACACATACTAAATCTGAATTGGCATCTTAAGAAAAGTTTGTTCTGATTTCTGCATTTGTTAAGGCTTAGGGAGAATTTCTAGTAGATCCTCCTCTTTAAAATGCAAATGCAATTTCGCTTGTGTTTTCATTTTCTATAGTGACATATTTCATGTGTACCCAGTTGAAAGTTGTGAGAAATAACAGTCAAGTACCTAAGCTGCTTTATCTCACCACTACAAATGAAAGCAGAGTGCTTATTACTGGTGAGTAACTTCTTTATATCTTCTTTATAGGGAATGTAAAATACTGTCTTTTCACTAGAACCACTTAGTATATATTAATTTCTACCTTATAGCATTCAATTTCATGATAGCTTTATTTTGACATATCATTATAACCATAGTATATTTTAATAAGCAATATTTATTATTGATAGATTATTAATAGAATATTAATAGATTACTTCTATATTACTGCTGGTAGAAAATATCTTCATGGCTCATTGGAAAATTACATTTATGTCATTTGATTATTACTTGATATAGAAGATAGAAAAAATGCTTGCTAGATTGAAGACTGCTACGTTTGGTATCACAGTGTAGAGTTAACATGATGTTCATACTTGATCTCAGCCAAAAGGCCTAGAAGTATTTAGTTAACATTATTTTTACAGTGTACCAAAAACAATGTGGGTCAAATTTTGGCCCCCCAAATCTCACATTTAATTTATATGACTAAGTATCATTGTCTACAAATAATTCGTCCCTCTGTATATGTGGGTTGCCTATTCTTAAATTTGCCAAGATCATATCACAAATATTTGGATATACATATATACGTATAAATATACATATACATGCTGAACATATGCAAACTTCATTCTTGTTATTATTCCTTGAGCTATATAACAATAATTGGTGTGTTTTTGCAACATTCTGAGTACTAGAAGTAATCCAAAAATTATGAAAATGATCCAAGAGGATATGCATTTATTCTATCCACATAGTATGCCATATTATACCAGGGAGTTGAGCATCCGTAGATTTTTGTGTACACAGGTTCATAAGTACTGGAGAAGAGCAGTACATTACTTTCCCTTTAAAACCAATAAGATACAAATTCCTAAATAAGAGTATGAACGATAGTATGGAATGAGGTATTTACCAGAAATCTACCATGCTGGTAATTAAGAAATTTGTCATGAGTTTTATGAAATGTATAAATATGTCTTTATCAATATTTTGCAAATAATAACAATATCTGATATCAATATGTCACTTTTAAGTCTGCCTTAAGAACACGAATTTAAATTTCAGACCACATTCACAATTATTTTTGTTGTTATATCACACTATCAAGTTAATAAGTTATAAAATATCAGCTTTTGAGAAGATGCTAACCATTTAGAATAGAGTTTTGGGGGCTTTCCTCCTGTGGTTCTTATTATCATAAGGACAGTTTCTGTTTTAAATCCAACTGAACTCTGATATGTCTTATTTTCTTAGGATGTTTATTTACTGTCTTTGAATAATTGTATGCTACATAGTAGATAAGTAAAATATGCTACATAATATGTAAAATTACTTTATTTTTTGTAAAATGAGACACTGTTTTAATATTTCAAAGTCCACACAAATGTGTTTCAGTGACTTTTATTTCTCTTTTTTATTGTTTGTTTTGTTTATTTGCATTTCTCCCTTCTGGAAGGAGGTCATAGAGGCAAGTATACATACGATACCAAGGCAAAAAAAATTATTCAGTGGATTAAAATGAAGACTAATTTGGAAGCAAAGAACACTGTTATTGGTGGATATTACCCCTATCCACCAGTGCCAGAGACATTTTCCAAGTATAGTCGCTTTATTAAAGGTATTGGTATAATTTCCAGTTCTGCTGTTCAATGCTACAAGTTTAGTATTTGTTATTTCTCTTATATATATTCCCTTCTCTCACAGAAGTAATGTGAAGCAAACTTTAGAGGCAATAGTTTTGTTCAAATGTAGATACAAAATATATGTATGTTATATTTCCTAAAAGTTATGTTTTTATTTTATTAGACTGGGAAAAAAGAAAGAGAATGTAGAAGAAGGAAGAATAACTTGTGGATAATATTTTGATTGAATGTCTTAAGATCAGCTCTGATATTCGAAATCTCAACTTGTATGACATTGACTACAAATGTCAATGATATATAAATGAGGTGCTACATGATCTCATATCCAGATGGTGATAGTTGTGTGATATTTCTCTTGTATATAATGTGATTCCATGTTGATTTTGAATAAAAAGGGTTTCTAGATGTAAATGGCATGCTGAATTTGGAATTGAATTAGTAGTGAGAGGATTAGCATTAATTTCCTTTTAAGTAGAATTAATATAGGGAAGCCAAAGTTTAAAATAAGTATGTTCTTGAGATGATTGCATGTTTGGGAGAAAATAGACATTGAAATGCTGAGCTATCACCATCTAAATATTGCTATCTTCTTGGGTGTTGTATATGATTGCAATATACACAATATGTTGTATATGATTTAAATAATGAAAATATGTTTTGCTAGGCAGTGACTAACCAATAATTTGTAGTTTGAAATATGTTCTATAAATTATAATCAATATGTACAATTACTGTTACAGAGACTTCAGGCAAGAAGCCTGTATTACAGTTTGACTGATACATGTATTTTACCTATATTTTGATGACAAATACTGGAGGATATCAAATATAAACACAAAATCTCACAAAATTAATATAGCAGGTTCACATTATAAAACCATGTTGGAAATCTAATTTTTGCTTTTAATCATGTCTCCTCTTTGAAAGTTATAATTTCTTGGGACATGTTCTTTTGCAGCTGAGTCGCTCTTGACAACAATAAGTGAAGTGAGGAAGGTGATTGAAGACTTGCAGTATAGGGAACAAAAGCGCATTGCAATTCAGGGGATAATTACTGCTATAAAGTACATCCCCTATAACCACTCAGCGGGAAGTACCCCAGCACCAGAAGCACTTCAGGTATGGTGCCAGAGGACTCCTAGTACATCTTTGACAGCACTATGATCATAATAACCATTGGTGCCTTACATATTGACTCAATCTTAATCTGTAAGAAAAAAATTATTTTAGTTTTTGTTCCTGCTTTGTTTCCTTTTTCTGTCATTTTGAGGCAAGGGGCAAGCCTCTGCATTTCTTAAGGCATCAGACCCTGTCTTTGTTTTCTAATTCAAGTCTATTATATATGTCTTTAATGCCTTGGTGGAGTATATGCCTAATTGCTGTGCTAACTTCTTTTAGACTTAAGCATCAGGAAAACTTCATGAGGAATGTTTCACTTCTCTATCTGTAGTGGTAGCTTTACCTACGTTCTGTAAAACATAACAAGAGTTCTCATAGGAGAAATGGTATACTACGATATTAATACTGGAATGTTCATATCCTCAAGAGTTCATTTTTCCTGTTAGTTCAACTTTGCCAAAGCTGTGTCTATGAGTATTACTATATATGTAGAAATAATCATTTAGTCCATTTGGTCCATTTAGTAGCCAAAGAGAACTTTTATCTTCTTCAACCTAAATACAAGATAGGTATAAATTTAATCGTCTTTATAAAAGCAGCATGTTTGCAGTATTCTGCCCAAGTCTTCAAAGTATGAAACTTAAATGTGTAGTTTTTCAGAAGAGAAATAATTTTGTGAATTTGTTTTAAAATATTTTGTCTAATTATTGGTTTTAGAATGCTAGCCAACCCTCAACATCTCAAGCAGCTGGAAAAGACGATCATTGTCATGAAAGAGGTAGTAAAAGATCTCAGGATGACAGACCAATGAGTTCTCAGAATTTTCAATCTATGTCTATGGTTTTGAGTCTCTGTGCAAAAAGAAAAATTCTTCAAGATCCAAGTGCTAAACCGTAAGTTGCTTGCATTACATCACTTGCACATATAGTTTTCCGCTGTATCTCACTGTCCAGTTGATCACTTTTTGAAAATTAGATTTACTTTCTTTTATGTTTTACCTGCATTTACATATTTGTACCTGGTACTCATGGAGGCCAGATCCCCTGGAACTGGAATTACAGATGATTGTCAGGCATCATGTGAGAGCTGAGAATCAACCCAGGTCCTCGACGAAAACATGTGCCCTAAACCACTGAGCCACCTCTCCAACCCCCCAAATTTCCCACCTTAATATAGATACTACTCATACTAGATTGGGGAACCACTCTTGTCCAATACAAATTTATCTTTTATTTAGGTAAAATCTTATTATGTAGGCCAGGCTGGCCTATGACCTCTCACTTTGTTTAGCCTCCTATATGATGCTGGAATTATTGTCATGAAGTACTCTGCCAGGCTATGAACTCACCTTAACTAATCCCATTTGTAATTACTCTATTTCCAAATTAGGTCTTCTGACGTCCTCAGAGTTAGAACTCTCATCATAGGCATAGGGAAGATTAACCGTTCATAACTTACATTTGCTTGCTGCCAATCTCCCTGTGAATTCACATCATTCACACATAAAACATTCTCTCTATCACAATAATCCTTAAACGTCTTAACCTTCACCTTCCTCAACTCTAGTCCACAGTCTTAATGTAAAGAAAACCTAGGTAAGCCAACCTGGTGACAAGTATGTAACTATTAGCTGGTCAAGACATGTTAGATGTCTGGATTTTAGGGGTGGGACAAGACTAGCATAAACATTATATTTTTAAAAAGCAAGATTAGAATGAAAAGGGGAGTTATGAGATAAAGGCCACTCCAAAACTTAGTATGGAAAATTGCAGTTAATTTTTAAGGTATTCAGAATTGTTTTGTCTGACTCAGTGCTGTGTTTTCCAGGTCTCCTAATGTAGCTTCACTCACTGACCACCCCCTTTCTTCTTGTGGTGGTTTGAAGGAAAATAACCCCCATAGGCTCATAGGGAGTGGCAATATCAGGAGAGGTAGTTTTGTTGGAGTGGGTATGGCCTTTTTGGAGGAACTGTGTCATTGAGGATGGGCTTTGAAGGTTTCAAATCCTCAAGCTTGGCCTTGTGTGTCTCTCTCTTCTTGCTAGTCTGGATGTAAGACTAAGATACTTCTTTTCTCATGAATTCACCTATTTATTTTATTTTTAATGATAGTTAAAATATGAAGTAATAGAGTTCACTATGATATTTAATATATACTTTGTTCTATTTAAAATCAGTTCTTCAGTCTGATACTATCTTGATCTTATTGACACCCCTTCCCCAACTCTTTCCAGATCTGCTTCTCCTTCCCTACCTACCCAATTTTGTATCCTATAAAAAAAAATCTTTCAAGACAAATTTCTGCTGCCCAAATATTCTTGGATGTGTGGTCTGCTATAGGAGGCTGATCAAAATACCATGGACTACACTTATTAAAGAATTTTTCTTCTCCTAGTGTCTAGCAATTGCCAATAGCTCTATAGCTAGGAGTGGGATTGTGTGCCTAACTGCCCTCTCAGTACTGGGAATTGGTCTCATTTAGGGATTGCTTTTATTTCTTACATGCTGTTGCAACCAGTATGAGCTCATATGTTCAGGTGCCTTGCTATTACCAGAAAATGTTACGTCTTTGTAGCCATCTATTTTCTGAGTCTTACAACTCTTTCTATCCCTCTTCTGCAAAGATCCCTGAGCCTTGGGAGATGTCATGTTATACATGTTCTATTTAGGGCTGAGCATTCTGTATTCTCGTATTCTCTGAAATCTGACCAGTTTTGCAACTCTGTGTTAGTCACAATCTACTGCACGTAGAATCTTCTTAGATGAGAGTGGAGAGATACGTTGATCTATGGATATATCAGCATATCACTGGGAGTGAATTTAATGCCATGTACACTTAGCAGTATAATAGTCGGTTTTTCTAGGCCCGTGCCTGTCTAGCTATAGTTTTTTAACCTGATAATGGGTATCATTTTGTGGGGCCGGGCTTAAATCTATCAAAAAGTGGTTGGAAGTTGGGGATAGAGGTGGGCATAATTAATCAGGAGGCAGAAGCAAATGGATTTCTGTGAATTGAAAGCTAGCCTGATCTACATCATAAGTTCTGGCCCAGCCGAGGCTAGAAAGAGTAGTCCTGTCTCAAAACACCAACACCAAAAAGAAACTGGCTTGTTATTCCTATTATTTTCATGCTGCTATTGTACTAATGGGCATGTCTCACCTGGCTTCCTCTCCCTTTTTCCATCCCTGTGACCCTTTCCTCTGCTTTCATGTCACATGTATTCTTTCACCTTTTCTCTTCGTTGCTTCTCCCTTAAAATTCCCCCCCTTCTCACTGACCCTTTTATAGTTTCATAATCTTGCCTGTCTTTCTCTCTAAAATCTGGTAACTGCATGTAAAAGAAAAAAAACTTATTTTTCTTTCTGAGTCTGGCTTATTTCACATAATATAATACTTTGTATTTGAATCCATTTTCTTACAAATTTTATTATTTTACTTTTCTTTACAGCTGAAGAAAGTTCACGATCCATTCATTAGTTAATGGAAATGTGAGCTGATCTCATTTCCTAGTTGTTATAAAAAGTGGAATAGTTAACATAAATATGCAAATATCTTGATAAAAGAATATAGAGTGTCCTTTGGGTGTATGCCTAGAATGATACAGCTCAGTTATGACATCGGTGTTTTTAGTGGTAACTAGTCTCCATTCTGGTTCATACAGTGGCTATACCAGTTTATATGCTTACCACAAGTTTATATGTTGATAAGGAGGAGCCCTCGCTTCCCCCTTGTATGTTCAACCAGCATTTGTTGACATTTGTTTGGTTAATGATTGCCATTCTGAGTAGAATGAAGTTACACCTCAAAATAGTTTTAATTTTAATTTCCTATAAGGCTAAGGATGCTTACCAATTCTTATATTTATTGGGAAAACTCTATTCAGCTTATTGATAGGAAGTTTTAGATTCTGGTAATAATTTTTACAGTTCTTTATATATTATGGAACCCCTGTATGAACTATATAAAGACAAAGGTTTTTCTCCTATTTTGTATTCTGTCTCTTCACTCTATTGATAATCCCTTTTGTCATGCAGAATATTTTTAATCTCATGCACTTCCATTTGTCAATTCTTTGAGTTAATTCCTGTGCTTCTGGAGTCCTTTGTAGAAAGTATTAATCTTGAGATTCTACAGAAAAACCACCTCCACAATTTTGGGCCAAATTTGAAGCAAGTTTGAAATGGACTTCAGTTACAGACAATTCCCTAAAATTTCTCAATTGAGAATGGGCTTGAGCCACATGTTGCTGAGGCATATAAAGACAAACCTATAGGCCACCATACTTTTCCCAAGAGGCTTTGTTATTTCTCAGAACTACAATTCCCAGCATTACAGGAAGTTACCTAGTTCCTGGGCAGGTGGAGCTTACAGGTTAGTTTTTGGTCATTACAGAAGTTCTTTATCTCTTACACTCATTTCCTGCCTGCAGAATCCTAGAAGGCTGATATCTTCCCTTCATTTTATTCTGTCTGTATTTCCTATAGTACTCTAGGCTAGCAACCCTTCTGTTTTGATGACTAATTCAATCTCTGGCCATAAGCCTAATCTGTTTTAAATTTTATTTTATTACATTTATTTTTGTATGCTGTGTGCTTATGTATGTGTACACCAATAAGTGTGTATACACATGCCATGGAGTCCATGTGGAGGTCAGAAGAGAACCTTCAAGAGTTGTTGGTTCTCTTCCACCTTGTGGGTCTTAGGGATTTAACTCAGGTCATCTGTCTTTGTTGACAATCATGTTTATTTGCTGAGCTGTCTGTGTTCTGTGTAATGCAGAATGATCAATTGTAGAAAAGAGGGACACTGCAGGAAGAGTTTAGTGTCCCTAAACTGGCCGCTTTCTAGAAGCCTTTTTCATTGTTACGCAAAAGGCACCTTTTGCAAGTCAATTTCCACATACCAAAACTTATCTGATCTAAGGGTTGTCTGGAAAGACCTATCACCTAAGCAATTCTCAGTCATAGGAGACTTCCTGGTTTGCCAGGCACATCTTGAGACTGTTATGCAAAGGCTCACAGATAACAAGGCTACTTCAAAAGCCAGACACAACAGTTCAGCTAAAATTCTGCTACATTGAGCCATCTGTCCAGCCACATATTAATTTTAATTAGTGACAAAATAATAGACTTCTTCATTATGATGTCTTTATTCATGTATATAAGTATGCTTCACTCATATTCATCCTCCAACTCCTGACACTCTTTTGTCCTCTTCGTAGGTCTCTCTCTTCATCAGATAATCTAATCTACTTTCTAGTTTAATGTCGTGTGTGTGTGTGTGTGTGTGTGTGTGTGTGTGTGTGTGTGTGTCCGTCCCTTGTGTGTGAATATGCATGTGGAGACCTAACGACAGCCTCAGGTATTATTCTTCAGGAGCTATCTACCTTGCTTCTTGGACCTCGTTTCTTATTGGCCTGGAGCTTGCCAAGTAGACTAGGTGGGCTCTCCAGTCAACACAAGAGACCTACATGTTTCTTCCTCCCCAAAACTGTGATTACTAGTACATGACACTGTACTAGGCTTTGTATGTGGATTCTGGGATACAAATCAGATCCACATGCTTGTATGTAAAATACTTTACCAACAAAGGTGAACCGCACAGCTATTCTTTATATGAGTCAAGTTTTTGAGCAAATGGTTCTCCAGCCACACCTCTGGTGATCTGTCCAGATCAAACTTTCTGATATTTTATATTTGGAGGCTGACAGTTTCCAAAATACTTGTATTTTGGGGTTCCTTTTGCTTGACAATTCCCTCTCTGGTAACATCATTCTTTGTATATTTTACTGTGAATAGGAAAGAGAATCTAGGTGGTCTACATTTGATTAGAAATACCCTCAGCTAAATGTCTAGGTTTACCATTTATAAGCTCAACTTTCTATGCACAGAAT